TATTTCAGAAAATGACACATGGCAAAAGTCAGTCGCTTTGTTTCTTCAAGCCAAGCTTGCTTGTTTACCCGTTAATGATCCTTTCTTGATTAGGAACTCCGATCAGGTAATTGAATTCTTGAATAACCACACACATGACAGTTACCAAGCCTTCTCGGTGGACATAAAAGACTTGTATTACTCGATACCTCATGGTGCTCTGTTGTCTGCTATTGAACATGCCATAGATGATTACGGTGTCACGCGCTTTCAAAATGAAGCTTCATTATCGTTGAGTCACTTTTTAGAACTTTTATCTTTTTACCTTTCCTCTACTTTTATCTCATGGGACAACGCGTTGTATTTGCAAGAAAACGGTGTATGCATCGGCTCGTGCATAGCACCCATTCTTAGTGATCTGTTTTTATCCAGCCTTAGCACTTCCTTGTCCTCAACGTTAGACGACACTCCAGTGTGCAAATCTTTTCGTTTTGTCGATGATTTCCTGTTTTTGATGGACTGTACACCAGTTGACCTAGAAGCGAAGGTTGAAGAAGTATTACCAGCGATTAAGGAATGTCTCGCACCCCTTGAAATTACTTGCGAGCTCCCCCAAGGTGCCTCTCTGCGGTTTTTGGATATCCGGTTGTTTTTTCTAGGAAATCACACTTGCTGGTCGTATGAGCCACGGGCAAATAAGCCTCTGCTTTCTTTTGTCTCGGCGCACTCTAAGCTTATAAAGAGAGGAATCGCAAACTTGTGTTTTAAAAACGCCCTAGCAAAATCGTGTCATCACAAAATGGCACACAGTTTCGAGGCTCAGAGTAAGCGTCTCACCGAAGCAGGGTACCCTGTTCTGCTGCAGGTCTCTGTAGCTGAGCGTATCCTCAAAGCTTCACAGAAAGATAGGCAACAAGTGTTGGAGTGTTCGGGTAGCAGAATAGGCGTAATCCCATATATGCACACTGTCTCTCATAACTTGAAGAAGGTAGCCCAGCGGGCTCACGTACGTGTGGTGTTTTCAGCCCCCAAAAAACTAGGGGAGCTTTGCAAGTTGACCTGCCCAATTAGTTCTATTCGCTTAGTATGTGATAAGAAACATCAGGTTAGATATGTAGATTGTGTGTGTTGCGTTGTGTACGTGTTCTTGTTATCGTGTGGAAGATATTACATAGGACAGACTAAGCGGTGTCTTAATGATAGACTGCGGGAACATGCTTACAACGCGAGAAATAAACTTTCAGCGGGAGGGTTCTTGGCGGCGCACTGCAAGGGGTGTGGGTGCTCCCCTGATCTGTTTAGCTGCACCGTTATCAGCCGGTCTCGCAATCAGCTGACACGTGAGATCAAAGAAGCCGAGGCAATAGAAAAAATGGGAAACTTGTGTGTGAGTTCACCTTCGATTGCTTTGACAGATAAGGAAATGACGTTTCTTGGGATGTCACCACGTGCAAGATGAGTCGTGTTTCTACGCATGTATAAGATGGGTGTCAAGGGCATGAAATAAACAGTTGGAAGTTTAGCGCCTACCTGTCTTGACGTCTCTGTATTCTTTCCTCTTTCCTTTTCATATGTGCCGCGCTAATAGAAGCTAAGTTCATGGATAACCAACTCGCCCGAGCCACAACGCTCATGATTTGAACATTTTTTTAGTTTTAACCCGCCTCAGGGCGAGAAATTTTAGACACCTTACAGCCGCACAATGCTATCATTGTTCATATTCTGTTTATGTTGCTTTAATAACACACCAATACATTTCCGTCATCATTGTTGCTCCTTGTTGCTCTCCCTCATCATGGTGCTCTTTGGCCATCACATGGCCCTTGCGCCAATAAACACCATATATCATCATCATCATCATCAAGTGTCCATGATGTTTTCGATGTGCTTTCCACGATATTCTTCAATATTTGGTGGGGAACTTAAAGTGCTTTAGAGGGCATTTGTACTGATTACAGAGCACTGTCTGCACAGGTAAACAATTTACTTAGAACATTTGAAGATGTGAAGAAGATCGCTTGATATTCTTCGCACTAGCTATCATAAATTCTGCTAGCTTATTCTTGTTTCAGTTTCCTTCATTTAGTACTCGCCACATACATAAGGCAGTGCCACTCACCATTTCATGTTTTTGGCAATTAAAACCCCGCACCAATAACAAGTCAGGCCATGTTTCCATTGAACAAGGAGGAAGGAAAGCTTAAGAGACTTTATTAGGGGAGTGAACGACCTCGCAGGGCATTGGGCTTCCACCACTGTTGACACTGTAATCCTGTTTTCGGAATTGTAGCCTTTCGGTGCAGAAGGTTGCCACAGAACCGTGCAAAAGAGAGCATCAAAGTTGTGGTACCAGAGCTTTTCGGAGAGGCTGTCTCGGGTCTACAAAACAAGAGCTTATGCCGGCATGCTGAATGAACTAAGTTTAGAACTGCAAAGACCACTTTTAACTGTAGGCCGCCAAAACTATGAGTCATTTTCAAAGCGCAACTGCATCAAAATACGAATTCGCAACTCTGCCTACCTGGCTTTGTCGACAGCAGGGCAGGCAACGCATGAGTTGGTGACAAGACGAAGGAATTGTGAGTTGCCCTAGCAAAAGCATGTGACTTTCGCAACATTTTTTGTTACACAGCTTAGATAGTGAGGGCCTTTCCTGAGTCTTGCTTCCTGCATGGCACTGATGGAGCGACTCATGCTAATGTATTCTCTTGTAGCTGCAGTCTTGTAGCACCACAAGAGCAATATCGGATGTTGCCTCAAACATTGGATTCCTTAACATTGCATAAAGATGCGTCAAGCGTGTGCACTGGCAAACTTGAGCCTGGTAGCATAGAGCAAACAGTCCCTTGCAGACAATCTACTATGACATACCTACTGAATATTGAAAGCACATTGTGTATAAATGTATTTTTATATTGTGTTTATTGGTGTATTTAGGGCACTTGAAACTGCTCTTAAAGGAACACTATTCTACCCCCCATGTTTTGTTTGTGGGTTGTGTAAACTGAAGTAGAGATAGACTAATGCAGCAGAAACGGCAGTGATAACGGCACGCAATCTGAAGTTATTCGACTTAGAAAAGTCAAAATACAAGAAAAAAATGCTGACCCTCAACCCTATTTTCGCAGGGTCACTTGACCACATTTCACTAGCCCATGATGTCGGAAGGCTGCCCCAATGAAATAAGTTGGAAGCGCCTCCGTAGGGGAAGCTCCCACCTCATTGTTGCTTGTTTTTGTGTGCGTGTGTTTTCAAGGTAATGTTGACCTTGTTGCCACATTAACAAACGTGGTGACTGACACCTGGCTTGCCAGATTGTGAGCTGAAGTGTCGAAGCGAGGTATTTTCTGCTGTTGCTTACAACATTCCAAGTCACTTCTTTCTATTACTGCAAGAAATGAATTTGTGGAACGACCAAGACGGTGAAGTGTTGTTGACCCTTCGCGCATTGTTTGGTGAGTCGCCCAACGAGTAACAATGGTGCACAGCACCCCTTCAACAGCGCACTTGCGTAAAGAGGGAGCTCGCAAACTCCTAAAAGCAAAAAGAGGAAAGAAAAAGAGAGAGGTTTTTTGTATGTACATCCGACCCGGCAAGCCAAAAATTCTGTGGGGAAATGGTAGCCAGTGCCTCTGTCGTGCTTTGTAGTCGCTGTGATCTTTTTTTGTTGTGGCTGTGTCTGTTCAGGGTTTGATGAAAAAACGCAGAGATGAAAAATGAATCAGATTAAAGACCTCAGTTTTGATCCTACACTACGATCGCATCTAACATTACATTTATCCAATGATATCGTGGGAGGCTTCCGGCATAATATCCGTCCGCAAAGTTCTGGCGAGCACCACTACGTGGTAATGCAGTCGGCAGTGATGTAGTGACTTTATTGCGTGATTAAATTACTAAATCATTTTATATCGGCACTTACACCTAAACTAAAAATATCTGCAGTTATCAGTATGCACAAACCACAAATAAAAAATAGGTGCTTCAGTAGTGTTAGAGGTCCCCTTTAAAAGCAGTTCTCAATTTTCTTCTTCAAATCAATGTTCCTGTGACACAAATGGAGCATGTTGTGTTCATTGCTTTTTGTTGAACTATGGAATGCGACAATATAATTGCGTGAGTGCCAAGGCCTAAAACAATGCGACAGGCACCTCATTAGGCACTAAAGCATGCGACAGGCATGCAGGCACTAAAGCACGTGACAGGCACCTCATTATTGACCAGTTTCAGTTTGATAGAGCTCCAAAAAACAACAACCTGTCGGTTGCCACTCGCCACCTAGCGTGGGCAGCTCTTGACTACATCGGCTCACAGAATTGTGATGCACTTCCCAATGATCCGCATCAAGAAGTCTTTTCGAATTAGAAACGGGACTACAGTGCAGCCAAACACAAAACTACCAACGCGTGCGCTGTAGCCATGCACTCGTGACCAGTGACCGAAAAGTATATACTGCTGGAACAAATGCTGCAAAAGAAAAGTGGCAGCTATGATGTCATTCATTATAATTTGTTTTATTGACTGCAGCGTGAGGGAAGTAAGGAGGAGGAATCCCTTTTGATGGTGGCAACACCTTCAAAATTTAAACTTCGAAATTGCTGTAAAACACCTTCCGAGCTATATTCATTATTGATATGTAGCAGATGATATACACATGCTCACAGGAATCAATCTCACAGGCTATCTCGGCCTTTAAATTTTGTGTCGGTACACTTTTAAATGATATTTACATATGGTCGAGAAAAAAAAACTTAATTTTATGAAGTACATGCAAAGTTAAAAGAAACCATGTTTGAACACTGGTATTGTTAGGGGCCATCTTTTTTGCGGGCTAGGCTTGGCCTGGTGACCCCGACGTGGGAGTTGCGCACTGTTCACTAGAGCACATCGCGCAAGACTTCAGAAATTATTTAAATCAATCAGTCGTTTTTTAGGACAAATCAAAATGGTGCATAAGATGTTAAGTGTTACTCTTGTGTTATGAGCACTGTCAGGCTGAATTGCCTTGCTTGCCTCTGCAGATATGGCGGCCAGTCACATCGGTGTTCTTCTACCCCATGGGTTTCCACTACCTGGTGAACCTCTACTTCCTCTACACATACTCAATACGCCTGGAGACAGGTGAGCGATTTCTGTGTGTTTCATTCCCTGACCTCCCTTTCTAAGTGCTTGCATAACATTGTCCAATCTGCTCTCTATCACTTATATATTCTACTCAGCCTAGAGCTCTTCGCTTGACACAGGTCTTAGTGATAAGATAATAGAGGCCCAATCTTTCACTTTGGTGTCAGACAGGGGCACCTGCTCCTTGGTGCTCATGTTCCCTGGTGTATTCTTAGGGTTAACTTTGAGTTTCATTGCACTGCCAATGCAGTTCTAGGATATTGCTTAGAAAAAAGCATGTGTTGAGACTCTCTCTGCAAGTTACTGTGATGATCTCGGCTGCTTTTAAGAAAACAATAATCTTTCAATTAGTGTGTCCAATCAATTTTTATTAAATATACCAACAGTTAGTTGACCATTATCTTAAACTTATGCACCCATGTTATATGTATCTAATATAAGTTATCTATAACCAGAACCACCTATTTCATTCAATTTTTTATTTTTCACAAGAATATTCCTCAATATTTAGAAAATCGGAAGTGCTTGAGAAGGAAACGACAGTGTCTCTCTCGTTAGTGTGCCACTGATGGAAACAAAGAGAATTAGAATGGATCAGACATCTCTTAGGCGTGAACCTGATTGAGTCATAATGTGTCACTTTCAAGTATAATGCTCAACCTTTTCCACTTCTTTTACTCAATCTCACCTGTTTGCTTGCTATGGCAGCCCAATGGAGGCCTGCAAAGCCTACAAAGCCTTCTGGCATTATGCATACAAAAAAAAAAATTGGGCCCATTCTGCATGTAATCTGCATTTAGTCTGCAAATGTCGTCGAAAGACGATAGTCTTGCGCATGGAGAGAGTTAGAAAACATTTATTTGATGTTCTGCGCAAGAAAATCGGTGAATGGTATTCCGGAGGCACTCGTTAGAGTGCCTCGAGCGTGCAGCGGAGGCAAACGAGCGTACCAAGTCACGTCACACGTGAAACATGAGCGCCTTCTGGCAGTTTTATTTGGAAAACAAAGCGCGGGGCCCTGAGATGGGCGTGGGCGCCCGTCTCGGAGGTGATAAGGTGTAGAACGCAAGGTGACGGGTAGGTGCCACCACCGTGTCGTCTTAGCAAAGTGTTGGAAACACTCGCTTCTTCCTGCAAGCGTTGCATGGTCAGCGCAGCGTGATAAGCGCTACAGTCCTTAGAATTACTTATGTATGCCTTTTCTAGTAAAAGACGAACCTGCAGAATATATACGTGTTGTTATGGTGCTTCAGATATGTGCAATAATTGCTTTTTAATTGACAATCGCACACGTATGAACGCTGATTCTTGAGCAACATTAGTGGGCGCTGTGGATGGGGTCGGCCGTTCGGGGTATCAGCTAGTGCTGTTGAGAGTACCCGGTTTAGAGTAAGGGTGGACAAACAGACAAATGCACAGACAGACAGACCAAAGTTTTTGCGTCGAAAATCCCCAAGAAAGACTATCGTCTTTAAAAACTGATAGTATCAAAGCAATCTAACTCGATAGCTTCGATTAGATGCCATGTCTGAGGCCCTGTGCCAACAGTGGCTGCCATTTAAGGGTGGACAACCTGATATCGGAAAATGATAGGCCACTTCTTTGTCGTTCCTTTCTAAACGGTGCAAGATCACAGGCCACATTTTGCTCCCATGCTTTGTCACCTAACCGAACAGCAAGGCTGTTGTATTAAGCTCTGCCTTTAGTTCTTTCACATGAAACAACGCACTCGCAGTTTACAGAGCACATACTTGCGAATACTGAGTGGGAGGGGGCAGCCAAAGACCTAGGTTTCCTATTGTCCCAGAAGTGGGTTTTCTGGGGAAGACTCACTGGACTAAGTCTGCTTTCATACAGTGTCAGTCTACTTCTTTTGTGTGTTTTGTGTGTGTTATCACACTGCATAAACCTATACTAAGGGTTGCATACCAATTAGATTGTTAACAAATACTCCTAAGCTTTGAGAGTGAATTACAATGTTGAAAACTGACGCTTGTTTGTGTAGGCTTTATTTTGGCAATATCCTACATGTGTGGAGAAAAATTAAGCCACTGCTAATTAGGGTTTTAAAGGTGTTCCTCTTTAAAAAAAAAATCGCGCAACAAAATGCTGATTACCAAAGAAGATCATAAAACGCAGGTGGTGGTTTACGTCAGCTCCTATGTCTTGTAGTTTTCTTGCACGCCTGCGTTCCATCACAGTTTTCGTTTCTTTGCTGTGTGCCGTGCGGGGTCAAGACACACGTCCCCTCTCCCTTCTCTGATGCAGCCATGACTTAGTCGGTGCCAGTGTTCAAAATATATAACAGCATGGCTTTTCAAATGTCAGCTTCTTTTTGCCTGGATGAGAAGGTCGCAGAGACATGACTTCATTTTTTTCACGTAGGAAGACCAGTGTAGTTCGACTACAGTTTAGTAGACTTCAAATACAGATGTTTTACCTCGTCCAACCTGCTCATATTTTGCCGGCATGCAATGTGACATGTACTGTTTAACGTCCCATTACAGGTGCGTTCACACTGTTGCCTCTTGTGGGTCTGTATTCTCATGACGAGCTATTTATTGGAGGGACATTACAGCCCATAGTGTTCAGTAACACGGGGTGGGGGTGTATTCGTCCCCAATCTCCCCCCCATCGGGTGGTGTATCCTAAACGCGGCATTTCATTCTGGACATATAATGCTGGAATTAACCTCACACAAATTTGAACCACAACAGATATATTTTAGAGGCTCCACGCTTTATCTCTGGTATTAAGCATGGATGTTATAGAAATGGAGAGCACCTACCCCTTGTATCTGAAACCGACTAACGGAGTGATATTCTAGCAAAGAGAACAGGGAAACCAATGAGGGCGATGTGTCAATCATTTAACGCATGTAACTCCTGTATTACAGCACCATTTCATTTCATGATGGTGTTCATGCCATTTTACTATGACGGGAACACTGGCTCTGTAGGTGTAGTCTATTTAAATAGTCCTCAGGCACATTTTATTTGGCACATAGCTACGGCACGTGTCTTCTGTGTGTTTTTATATTTCTTTCAGGTCTATTCGATGGGCACCCAGCCAATTACCTATTCATGCTGCTCTTCAACTGGATCTGCATAGTGGTATCCTTCAATGCTGGCTCTTGGTTGAGCTTAGGCTCGCTTAACATTAATAGCACTGCACCCCATTATTCAAAGAGAGCTAAATTACTAATAGAGTAGTGTCTGTTTAGGATCTCGTTGGTACAACTCTCTAATAGAGCAGCAGTGTGGAAGCAGCCCCTGTAATAGTATTGTGGTTACAGTGTTAAAGACCTAAAATAGTATGAAACAGCTGTGTGTAACAACACCAAGTAAAAAGCATGTAAATGTTTGTGAATGATCAGTCATTTACAACTTTTGCTGCTCGATTGCCAGCCGATTTTTCCACAGGATTTTGCTTGAATAAATATTATGCCTATTTCACGCAGAATAAATACCATAAATTCATATGCACTAATTTGTGGCAATATTTGGCATATGAGGAAGAGATAGTGATTGAATATGTGTGATATAAGTACACTGGCTGCTCAAGTGAACAGACTAAGTGATATGTTAAGAATAATCTAATGAAATACCAAGAGGCAGCTTCAATGAAAAATGGTGGCACAGTGGGCAAGAAAATTAATTTAGTACCTTATGAATGAGTGTGTAATAGTAACCTATGAACTAGCACATTTTGCATGCTTGTCATGTTTTCATAACTGTAAGCCACACTCTGCAAAAGCCATGTCTCCTTTCCTTTTGTGAAAATTGTAAATATCCTTGAATTGGCCAAGCTCGGGGCATGCTTAACCAGAATACGGCTCAAGAGCACGAACGGGGCTGTGCCCTTCAGTGTGGCATTGCTGCTAAAGTTTCTGAATGGTGAGCGATCTGTGCTGAGCAACCCCATCAAGCACTCGTTAACAAATAGCATGGTTGTCTAAAAGAGTGCTAAGCCACAGTCTTGGCTACCGGTTAATTGTTTCTTCAGCATTTCATTCACGTGTGAGAATACCAAGCTCTTCCCAAAAGGGACTGGTAGATTGTTGTCTCGTCTCGTAAGAGCTAAATCTTAGCACAAGTGCAATACAGATTAGGGAAGCTGTGCAGCGGCTGTCACACTGTTTTCATCGTCAAATTTTTGGTGTAGCGGGCGGTCTTCAAAAGGTCGCCATGCGGTGTGACGCACATTTATTCATTCTACAAAGTGCATTTGCCTCACAGTGCAGTTGTTGCAGATTTATCCTGGTGGTTCATTCAATGTAGTGACACCCTCTTTGGCAAAAGGACTGTGAGACCTTGACTTCCGAATCTAGATTGTCGCCCTCTTGTCAGACCTCATGGTAAGTGCATTTTCTGAGCATATTCAGGTATCTCTCAAGGCTTTTAATGTGCAGTGCAGTGTTTAAAAGAGAATAACTGTTGTGGGGGTGGGGGGGGGGGGAGAAAGTCGGCATTGGTGACCAGGAGCTCGTGTTCAACTTAATCTGGACACACCATGTGGATAGTTGTGTGAGCTGGAAGGAAGATGGGCAGAAGAGTGTGGCCGTGCACATAGTACTTATTAAGCACAACATCAGCTTTTGTTTGCAAACGTTCTGGCTATTGCGAAGGAGTGAAGGCCAGCCATTCATCCATGTAGCTTGTCTGTTCTACAAATTTGGGGGAAGATATGTGAGAATTAGGGAGTGACTTAAGGAGTACAGGTAATTTTAAGTATTCCTGTATTGTTCCTTTAAATAAAAGCACTGGTGTCAAGTACCCTGAATAGAGTATTGTGGTTCTGGGGAATGCCTAGCATATGTTTTTGTACCACTATCTTAAAGGGGCCTTAAAGACTTTTCAAGTAACTGTAGAATGGATTCACTAAAAGAGCTTATTGCTTCACGAATTCAATGCCAAAAAAATTTTAAGAATCCGTGCAGTACAAGCAGAGTTACAAAGATTTGTTGCACGCTGCAATCGCATTTCTCTTCTCTCGTCCCGACAAAAGTGCTGGAAGTTAAGCAGAAGGACACGGTAGGAGCAAAGAAGATGCTCCTGCCTAAAAGTGTTTGTGACCTTGTACACTTTTTCCCTTTTTATTCGAATATGCAACTTTTTTAGTGCGATCGCGTGCGCACGCGTGGACAAGTCGCGGCCTTCCTCGGCGATCCTTGTAACGACAGAGTGCACCATCTTCAAATCAACTGATAGCTGATAAAAGACCTCCTGCGATTGATTTTTTTAGCTTCTTTCATTATTTGTTGAAAGAAGAGAAAGCAATGCTTAGCTGAGTTTAATAATCTATTGTTGATTGCAGGCTGTATGCTGTGCTATAATATTTGGCTCATGTGTTCTTGGGAGCCTCTACAACTGATCAGCAGCGTTTTTTGAGCATGCTCAGAAAGTCTTGCATGGTCTCATTAGGGAAGTTCTTTCTGTTTGGATATTGTGGAGGTGGTTTCTCAGTGTGTAAATGTAGCCTAATGTCGCAAAGAGATGGCAACTCTGCCATCTGCTGTAAACAGCACATGGTTCACATGTGCTCGAGCTGTCCAGCGGTAGTGACAGCAACTCCAGCAGTTTAGGCTGCATGCGGCACGCAGAGTTCACAAGCACAGTGATATTCTAGCGTCATTGTGGTACTAATGTTCATTCCAGGGTGGCCCGGCCTGCAGATGCTGGGCTACAGGAACTTTAATGTTTAATTAAAATATTTCATATGCACCGTTTGCCTCTGGTGTGTGAAAAGTGTTAACACTGTAAACCAAGGAAACAAAAAGTGTCCCTTTTGTGATGCCTTAAAGGGCCCCTAAACCACCTCCGATACTTTTTCACGCAATTCAAGTGAACACACACATTGTGTGCAGAATGCCGTCACAATCAACGATGCCACATGTGACAGCGCCATGAGACGCTGGCATGCTTCAAGTTTGCCCCGCCGCGGTGGTCTAGTGGCTAAGGTACTCGGCTGCTGACCCGCATGGCGCGGGTTCGAATCCCGGCTGCGGCGGCTGCATTTCCGATGGAGGCGGAAATGTTGTAGGCCCGTGTGCTCAGATTTGGGTGCACGTTAAAGTACCCCAGGTGGTCGAGATTTCCGGAGCCTTCCACTACGGCGTCTCTCATAATCATGAAGTGGTTTTGGGACGTTAAACCCCACATATCAATCAATCAATGCTTCAAATTTGAAGAAACAATCGCTCCTCCTCTCTGGGCCTTTCGGTCCTCTGTGTGACACGCAGCGCAGCACATTCTGATGCGCATCACATTCATGCTGCGATTGGTCGAGCAACCAGTTAGTCTGCAAGCAGCTGTCCATTCTGCTTATTGTCCGTCGAGTTGCTGGCGTGCACCAACTCCCTGCAGCACACGTTCTCCTAGGCACACACAGACCGCACGTGCACCTGCATTGGCATGACACACGATAGTGGTGGGAAGGGGGGGGGGGGACTTCATTTAGCCAAATACAAAAGTGTATGAAAATGGGGTTTGGAGTACATGATAACTGTCTCTCGTGTGGAGACCTCAACCCTACACCTCAACCAATACACTCGTTAGGGAACAGAGATTGAAGGAACACTGAGAGGGAAGAAACGAAAGTAAGGTAAAAGAGGAGAGATATGAGAGGAGTGTGATAAATACGAAGTAAAAAAAAAGTGTGTGTGCGGGGGGAGAATGAGTCAAGTAAGCAAAAATAAAAATGTGTAATGGGCGGAGAAACGGCTGGAGGAGCACCCAGCGAGAGGAAAGTGGCGTTGAGAGAGGATAACAGCTGAGGGTAGTGAAGGAAAGAGCGAAAGCAGCGACTGCCACATTTTGATAATCAAATGCGTCTAACTCTGCTATTATGGCACCGTTTTAGAAAATTCTTGCAGCTCTGTGTTTGTTGTGTACTTGCATGCAGCTTCCCCACCACAACTGAATTTTGACCTCTGGGTGGTTTGGGGACCCTTTAAAATCATGTTGCGCCAAACTTTTTTTCTTCTTGTGGCACACAACAATGTGGGAAATGAGCTGGTAATGGGTGTCTGCTTAAAGACAAAAATAAGTAGTTGTAAGAATGGCATAGAAATGTGAATAAACCACTCTATGTTTTTCTGAACTATGCTTCACAATGTTTCATTATGCCTGCCTAGTATAGCCTTGTATACCCAGCAATGTTACACTAACATGTGTGACACTCTTCCTTGCTGATTGACAGCTCCTGATGGACCCCATGGTGCTGAGTGTCCTTTATGTCTGGTGTCAGCTCAACAAAGACGTCATTGTCACTTTCTGGTTTGGCACACAATTCAAGGTGAGTGCATAGGTTTTAATTAAACATCCGGAGGACAAGCAGCAAATGTGCCGTCTTGCTCATTTTCATCCCTGTGTTGGTTTCGCGCTGTTCATGTTGACTATAGATTGCCAAGTAGGTCACCTTGCGAAGTAAGATTTTGCTTGGACAATCAAAAAGACATTGGAAGAAACAAAGTGTAAGTTCAACCCGTATGCCTGCTCGGTCAGGTTGGCTATAGGAAAAAAATGTTGGGAAACATCTCTTTTTTTTCTGCTTAATTGCCTTCTAACTGGATATTGTAAACACTGCGGTGATAAGAGAGGGGGGTTATAATGCACCTTGCCCGTTGAAGTTTTTACATTTTAAATTTGTGCGTTTGCGCATACTTGCAAGCCCACACAGCATGCATGACAAAAGGTCCAGCTCATTCCCCCTTCAAATAAATATCTGGCTACACCCCTGTTGCACATGTAACATTCCAGTGATTGCAACTTTCATTGGTGACTCTTAATCAGCCAATACCAGGGTTGGCCGATTGCAAGCAGATGAGTGCGACATTGAGATCACTTGATGTCCACCATGTCTACAAACGTGGAACCATTGCAAGGCACAACAGCGGTCCTATTGTTGCAAACAGTACTCCACATGCCACTTAAAAGTTAGTGAATTCAATCCCGGCTTTCATTTCTGTAATGACTGTATTTATTAATCTTCAACAACTCTCCTCATTTCAATTTCAGAATTCACCTTTTCTAGATGATTCAGACTGGTTTAGTCGTCTCACGGGTGGCAAACATTAGGATAGTGATTCTTCATGTATCCACCTCGTGGACCCTCCACTTCGGCCAGTGCCGATTAACTGGAGCCGAGCGAGTGGCACACTGCCCGTTTCCGGTCCTTTATCTGCAACGTCATTTGGCGTCGTGAAAATTTTGCAACTCTCAACATAAGTGAGAGGAACAGAATACACTTGGCCGCAAAAAATACAAGCCCAAAGATCAGCTTTTGAACGCAAATCTTGGAGGCCATGCATGCACTCTGATAACGTTAGTCGTTGAATTAGTTTTCGTGCGGCCACCCCCCTTGTGCACATGGAAGGTCCAGATGCATTCCCTGCATCGTGCTCAGACATCTGAACACGTTCATATGCAAGTTCAGACATGCCAATTTTCATGAGGAAAAAAGGTTATCTATATGCCCTATTGGCAGCAATTCTATTTAATCGATATGTGGGATTTGACGTCCCAAAAGCACCCTATGATTATCAGAGACGCTGTGGTGGAGGGCTCCGTAAATTTCGACCACTTAGGGTTCTTTAACATGCACCCTAATTTGAGCACGCGTGGGCTTACAGCATTTCCGCCTCCATCGAAAATGGAGCCGCCGCAGCCGGGAGTAGATCCCACGACCTGCAGGTCAGCAGTTGAGTACCTTAGCCACTAGACCACCGCGGCGGGGCTAGTAGTACCCCTACATGTCAAGTTTGTTAAAGTGTCTGGTTACTGTACATTTAATCTACGTACTTTATTTTTATGCTAAAAATTCGCTGGCGGGTTCGATGTGCCAACGTGGTTAAGAGCACCATAACGTCATGGCTCGCCACTTTTTAGTGCCATAGCGTTTAAGAGCTCATTTCTTATAAATTTCAGCATCAGTGTCATTGGCTGTGGGCAAAAAATCGTCATCTTTGCGTGACCGAAAGCTGAGCATCATTGCACCACCAAAGAACGAGAAAGATGCAAATGAAATAAATGACAAAAAATTCTCAGTCTGGGGATCCAACCCGAGTCGTTTGCATGGCAAGCGGGCGGGCGCTCTACCACACAGTCACGCCTCTGCTTGCGAATACAGTGAAAATAAGTTCCTCTGTTTGGAAATGCAGTGAAAGCAACTTTTAAGCTTTACAAACACATGCATCCTTTATACAGGCTTCACAATTTTATATGAAATATTGCCATAAAATATTGCGTGGTACAAGGGTACATAGCCATTGAGGGTGGGGGGTGGTATGATAATGACTTCATAGTTGAAAGCCAGTCACCGACTACAAAAGGCCCACACGCTACATCACCCTTAGGTCCATGCAGTGGGTGCATAGCAAGTTGAAGTACCGCACTATAAACACAATATCGCTATCATGTTCAACTCTTATAGCCGAAGCTTTAGGGTCCCCCAATTTTATTTTGTCAACTTCATGCGGTGTGTCAAAGTGGATGTATCCAAAGATGGAAACATCTGGAATAGCTACCCCGCTATGACTGCTGTCTGAAGGCATTGAAAGCATCATCTAGCAAAACCCAATTTAGTGAAATTGTTAATCTAACGAATTCCATCCATCCCTTAGTGGGTATTCTTGAGGTTAAATGTTGCCACCGACATGAGCTAATAAATATATTTAACATAAGGCTGACCCCCTTATGTTCTTTATAGACAACAATACTTCGTTTAGGAGCTCCAAATTCCTAATTTCTTTTGTATATTCATCCCACAAAAACATTTCTGCATTTCTGTGTAGCTATTCAATTTAATTCAATATTGCTAATAAATAAAGCAGTTATGCATTTTAGTTTTTGCTGGCTCTTGTTGAATGGTACCTGCTGGATAATTTTGACTGGTTTTTTGTTGGCCTCGCATGGTCTGTGATAGTCAACGTAATCTACTATCAGTTATCTATTGGCGATTGTTGTTGCATTAACGAAAATAAAAAAAATAAGAACCATGGTCGGTGTTTGTGCATCGAACTGTGTAAAATGTATTGCTTTGCCTAGTACTGTACATGATTTAGGCATGCATTGACTGTCAACCGTATTGCAGGCCATCTACCTTCCCTGGGTTTTGCTTGCATTCAACATGATTATCAGTGGCGGGTGAGTTGATTAGCCCTGCTTTTATTTCATCTGATAAGACCATATTTTGGGCATTGTGAGTGTGTGAAAGTGGGTATGGAGAGCGTGTTCCTGTGGCTCCTCTGATGAATGTAGACAGCGGCATCACAGCGTGGCTGTATGTGACGTGGTGCCCATTTGTCCTGTCTGTTGGCGTCATTTTAGGGGCGAAGCTCCTTATAGCGACACCCAATCGTCCCTCGTAGTCGTCGGAGTAGTGTGCTACCAGTCTTACATTTTGACCTCCAAGGTGGTGCCGGTGGGAGATTTTTTCGTTGTTGAACAATAAAAAATTCGCAGCGTGCGCGTTAACTAAAAGCCGAGTTCTCCTGTCTCTCATTCCACCTTAGCAGCCATTGGCATATACATTGAGCACTATCTGAAAAGAAAGGGTTGCTACGTTATACTCGCTGGGCGTAACCTCCTTGGTTTTAGAAAGGTTTAGCGAGCGTTGGGCCGCAGTGCCATAAATACAGTGAACTAGTATATACCATGAACTCTAGGTGGTTAAAGGTGGGAAGTAGACACGAAGCGCAAGCTGTAAGAAAGTGTGTGTGTGCCTCCTCTCGTTCAGTCCTGGGAATGTCCGCTGGATGGCGGTGCTTCTATATGAGGAATATATGATGAAAAGATGCAAGATGGTGGTACTTGGAGTGTTGGAATAGGTGGACGAACGGACAGATGCATGGACGGACTCACGGTTGGCTGCACGGACGAATGGACGCATGGACGAACGCAGGAGCGGATGCATGGACGAACGCAGGGACGGACGCACAGATGGACGTGCAGACGCACAAACAGACGCATGCACAGACGGGCGGATGGACACATGGGCGGCCACACAGACGCACGCTTGGACGGACGGAAGCAAGAACGAATGGACGGACGGATGCTTCGCCCCACTCTTCATCATTCACTCTGTGGATATGCTGCCATTTTTTTTAGTCAGCCAGCAAGACGTGGCAATAGAACCACTTTCTCTATTCGCCAATAACACTGGCATGCAAGACAGCACTTGCCCTTACCAGCTTACAATAATGGAATTTTTCGTGAACTTCATAGGTGTACGGGTTGCCAGCTCTGCAGGAAATGCAGCAAGACAGCATATGGCTTTTGAATCTGACATTTCCATGAAATTGTATACAGGATTTTAATGAGCACAATTTTTTAAAAATTCCGCTTAACTTTTCTTTTTACACTTGTTTACTCGTTGTCATGTGGTATAAGCCTCTATTTGCTTAGTCACACGGGAAACTTTGCCCTCGTTAGTCAAAAAAAGACAGTTTTATGTATGATTTCATGGAAGGTCAAATGCCAATGCATCAAATTCTGCATGAGTGGCCCGAAACACTGACATTTGTAATGCTCTACTAACCGTGTCACCCGTGCCCCGTCACGATGGTCTAGTGGCTAAGGTACTCGGCTGCTGACCCGCAGGTCGCGGGATCAAATCCCGGCTGTGGCGGCTGCATTTCCTATGGAGGCGGAAATGTTGTAGGCACGTGTACTCATATTTGGGTGCACGTTAAAAAACCCGAGGTGGCCGAAATTTCTGGAGCCCTCTACTACGGCGTCTCTCATAATCATATGGTGGTTTTGGCACGTTAAACCCCACAAATCAATCAATTAACCGTGTCACCCACTGCTTCATACACAGCCCCGTGGCATGCTCACCATACTCCTGCTTCATTCGCAGCTGGCATTGCTGTCATAACTGCTCAACTAATGCACTGGCAGAACTCTCTCTTCATGCGCTTTGCACTGCCATTCTTATAGGTGTAAAAAGCTCGGTCGTGGGGCTTTAAATACCAAAATGACAGTATGCTTACGAAATCCACCCTAGTGGGTAACAGGCTAATTCTAACCACCTTCGGTTCTATAATGTGTAATTAAATCGCATTACTGTGTTGCCTTTCACCTCCATTGAATGTAGCTAATCCTCACGATTGCTACTAATGTTTTTATATTATGAGCAATCAAATGAATACTTATTATGATTCCGGGTGTCAACACATGTAATCAAGGCTGTGTGCTGTGTCCCATGACAGCTGGTAGCCTTTTTCCAATCTTATCTGAGTGAGACCTGTGTACAATAGCAAAATTCAGCATGCAAAAGTCAAGGCCTGATCATCTGAGATTTTTTTCACAAATGTTTTTGACCTTATTCAACAGTCAATTGTTGGTGCCCACAGTTTGGCTGGTTTGACCACTCTGCAAACGGAGTGTTCAAAGTCAGTTGACTTTTTGTTACTCTTAGTGACAAAAATGCAAGTGTTCCGGTAGAAGTGATAGAGGCAGCAAATAAATTTGTTTAAATCATTAAGTCTTGTGTATCTGTGCTTGCACTCATACTGTGGTGTGCTGTGTATCAGTCACAAGTGCAAATATGCAATGCATTACCACCACTGCTGCTGATATTGCTTATGTGGCATAAATAGATTCACATATGTCACACCTTTCAAGTGAGAGCAGTGTTGTCCTTGCTTTTGATGCGTGATTGTGTGTGGTACAAATGTGAGCTGTGCCTCCTATGTACGAGCCGAAAGATGTGCAGTAGTCGTCTGCTGGCTAACATGATAGTGGATGGGTTGAGGCCCATTAGTGACAGTATTTGAGTGCTGTTAAACCAAATAAAAGGAAATTGAATATGATGTAAGAATAGATATGTTATATCTATAAACTCACTATAAATGTTAATTCTTTACACTGTATCAGTGGTAAAAGTATTCATTTACTTTGTCTGACCGTAAATGCATTAATTGTATAACCAAGGAGAATGAGCAATTAGCACCCAAGCACCACACACCTAGAATAGTACACAAATAAAACTTCATAAGTCCGTAGGCAGCTAAAGTTTAAAGCTTTGAGAAGACCGCTGTGTACTCGCTGAAGAGGTCACTCTGCCTTAAGAAAACTGTTAGTAACAAAACGGCTGGAATAATGCTGTTTGGCCCCTTTCTGTTATGCTCTAACGAAGGTGTGTCGTGCTGTTACGGAAGTATGTATTGCACTGGGGTCGACCAGTCACTTTTTATTTCAGTCGGACCAGGCACAGATTGAATTCTTGGTCTATGGTTGGCTTCTTTATGCAAGCCACAGAAGAGAGCCAATAGCAGTGCATCGTATGACACCGGTACTACGTATAGCTACACGAAACTGCATTATGTCGTTATCAGTGTGCCTTATGCCCTAATAAAAATGCCTGACGTCCGTTTCAAAGGGTGTCTTTTTCTGAACTGATTAAGATGTGTGCTTTTCTGCTCTCCTCTCTCTCTCTCTCCACGGATCGTCCTCCTCAATGCGTCAGTGGCTACAGCACTCGGCTGCTGAGCCGAAGGCCCCGGGATGGATCCCGGCCGCAGCGGTCGCATTTTGGTGAAGACCAAATGGCACTGCGCAATGTCAGTGCACGTTAAACAGCCCCAGAGCCTGCCGCTACGGCATCTCTCATAGTTATATTGTGATTTTGGGCCATAAAACCCCAGATATTATAATTACTTATCTCTCTCTGTGCATTCCTCTTTCCAGGGGCCTGTATGAGCTGATTGGCATCCTGGTGGGACACCTCTACTTCTTCCTCATGTTCAAGTACCCACAGGAGTTTGGCGGCCGCAACCTGCTCCAGGTGCCCTCCATCCTGTGAGTGCTCCTCTCAGTGAGGCAGCCCATTGCTACTGGTTCCCATAGTCATGATCTCGGGAAAGTGTTTAGCGAGGCACCTATATGTGATGCGGCACTGAATACTAATACAATTTGAACTGTGTTGCGCTATTAAACGAGAAGCATACTGCCCTGGCTGTGATGAAGAAATTTGAGCTATCTTGTAAACCATACTGAAAAAGATACAGTAGAATCTAGATAGCACGATTACAGTAGATGTGAATTTTTTTATTTTATTTTATTTTATTTTTTTTATTTATTGCATACTTTTCCGCGATGTATTGTACTGCATGTAAGTGTTAAAGACGAGTCCTGAGTGTCCGTTGACTATGTTATAAAGGAATTTTAAGCGATGTAGCTTTCTACGCGACTCCAATGTGGGAAGGGCGGATCTATTACGGAGTTCAGTGACTGAACAGTGTCTACTGTACGCGTGGTAAATAAACCGAAGGGATTTATTTTGGACTCGTTCTAGTAAGTATATTTCAGTTTGTGTGTGTGGATCCCATACAACGTCAGCATATTCCAACAATGGGCGTACCAATGTAGTGTAAGCAACTAGTTTTGTTTTGCTGGTGCAGTGCCTCATGCGATGCTTTAAGAACCACAATCGCCGCAGTGCTGCTGATGTTATACCTTCAATATGAGTTTTCCAGCTCAAATTAGAAGTGATTGTCAGACCAAGGTATTTGTACTGGTTAACGGTTGTTATAGCAGTGTTGTTTAACATGTAAGTGAATTCCGAGGGATTTTTTTTACGTGTTATGGTCATCTTGACGCACTTTGCTATGTTGAGGCTCATTTTCCAGGAGTTACACCATGCTGTAATAACCGATAAGTATTCATTTAGGGTGGCATGATCTGTTCTTGATTGAATGGGCAGGTACACAACGCAGTCGTCCGCGAAAAAACGACACTGCACAGTAGATTCGGATGACATGTCATTTAGATAAACTAAAAATAAAAGTGGTCCTAGGACAGAGCCCTGTGGTACCCCAGAATGCACGGGAGCGGAAGAAGAATTTTTATCTGCTATCCGAACGTATTGGTGTCGGTGGGACAGATAACAATCAAGCCGTCGAAGAATTCTTTCGTTGGTTAGGATTCGGCGAATTTTAAACATCAAATGGGAATGGGAAACTCGGTCGAAAGCTTTTTCAAAGTCTAAAAAAATCGCATCTATTTGTCCGCCTTTGTCAAGTGTTTTTAGAAAGTCATCAGTAGTGTGAATTAACTGTGTGGTGGTTGAAAAGCCTTGCCGGAAACCGTGTTGATTTGGGGAAAAAAAATGGTTACTCTCCAGAAATGAACTTAAGTGTTTGAAAAGGAAGTGTTCCATAACCTTGCCGGCTGTACATAACAACGAAATAGGGCGGTAGTTTTTCACGTCATATTTATCACCTGATTTATGAATGGGTACCAATTTACCCTTCTTCCAATCTACTGGAACTTCGCCTTGTAACAGGCTTTCCCTAAATATTAAGCCTAAGTATTTGGAACACCACTCGGCGTACCGATAAAAAAAAGCATTAGGTATTTCATCTGGCCCAGCCGATTTTTTTGTGTCTAGATGAAGTAGAGCTGACAAGATGCCTTCATCTGTTATAATCAAGTCTGGCAGTTCGAGATTGTTTGCGTGGAAATCAGGCGGGGTGTCACCCGTTCGCAAAAAAACAGAAGAGAAGTAGTCGTTAAATGCTGTTGCTATGCAGCTGGCATCAGTCACGTCCGCATCCTTGATTTTAATTTTCGTCACTTTCACTTTTTTGTCGGAGAGGTGCATCCAAAATTTTCTTGGATTGGTTGTGAGAAAGTTGTGCATTTTTACGTTGAAGAAATGAAATTTGGAGCTTTTAATCTTGTTGCGCAGTTCGTCGCGGAGGCTCGTCAGAGCAGCACTACGTGGTTGTGTTTTTGAGCATGACAGGCGTTTTATCTTGCGTTTTAGATGGAGTATGTCGCGCGTAATCCAAGGACTACGGCCGTGTATTTTTTTCACTTTCTTCGGAACGAACGAACTTATACATTTGTGAACGGTTGTCTTAAAGTGCGACCATAGCTGGTTAACGTCACAGCGATTATGAAAATGTTTGTTAGTAATTTTGTCGTACTCCTCCTCTAGGAGGTCCAAAATACTTTCGTCCGAGGCAGTATTAAAATTGAGGAATGCTGTGATACGAATTTTAATGTTGTTTTGGATGGGCTACATTATATAAAAAACACCGTGATTTGGTGTTATACAAACAGTTTCCCCAGCCACCGCAGACGATTCGCATGTGCGATTGACTGCTGCACGCCAGCGGCGCAACATGACTTGTTTGTGGGAGGAAGGCCTGTTCACTCTTGGCCTCGAAGGGAGTGAATGGCGCATAATTCACTGGAATTTTGCTCGCTTTGGTGGGCAGAAAAACGAGGCCAATGCAAAAACATTAGTCCGAGACCAAATTTGTAGCCTGGTTTGTGTACTACGATCACTGATAACACCAGAAGTAGAAGAAAGTGCAGCAGCAGTGAGCCAGCATGCCCCAACGTATCTTGCTTTTGCACTGCTGGCTGAATTCATCACCGTCGCTGTGTCCGCACGGGTCATTTTTGCTGGCGTACCTTTTGAAATAATGTTTGTAAAGGTGTAAATAGTTTTTTTTTTTTTTTCAGTGCTTTGCATGCATAATTACAACTCGGTACGAAATTAAGTGCTCAGGAAACGGGTAAAAGGTAATGAATCATCAAGCGGCAATAGTAACGGCAGCGGCGGTGGCATTTATTCGAGGGGCAGAATAAATGTGAACATTTTCGACGGGCACGGACATGGTATCCCCAGCCGCTCTGCATATTCGCTTGAATTCTCCAGGACTAGTTTTTTTTTTTTCTGTGTCGACTTAATGGTGCAGTTTTCTGGCCGCTTAAGAGGCGAAGTGGCTCAATTTCCAGTGAGTTTGGCCACTTTCGCTCTCTCTGATGTCAACTGTGAAGACGCCACGCCAGGAGGATGAGTGAGGAAACCGCGGCACTTTATTGAGAGGCGGTGTTAGCAGTGAAGTTTAAAAGAACATCATAGACTTTTTTTAGCAAAGAGTAGTTGCCAATGACGTTCTTATTCATCTTTAAGCTGTTTTCAGTTCATATGAATTCAGGATAATACGAATATTTTACGTGCTCCATTCCAATTCCTATGATCGAGATTCTTTGACAGTATCAAAGAATGTACATGCCTAGAAAATAGACCACAGTGTTTGCAGAGGCCAGTAATTGAACACAGCAAGCTAGTAATTGAATGCAGTGAGTTAGAACAGTACAAAAAACATACATCGAGATACGAAATGTGACTAGTAGTGCTCAAAGGTGCTCAAAGAATTCAGGGAATCTGTTTTTATTGATTTACTTTGTTTCTGCCCAGAAAAACAGTGCTTCAACATCTGCCTATGGCTTCTATTGTTTTCAGTTGGTGTGTGTTAATTTCAAAAGCCTTCACCACTGGGGGAAACTTCTGCGTGCTTTTTCTTTTTTTTTCTTTCTTTACACCTACCACTCTAGATATTGCCGGATATCTATGACACCTTCTTACAAAGACTTACATGCACAAAAGCTTACTTCATGTTTTGAAAAATAAATTCCTGGGACTGGGAGAGATCTTCTAAATAAGTGAGTTTTCGAATGAACAGAACATACAAAAAGGGACATCCACTGAACTTGGAATTATTCAAAGTAATCAGGGTTGGTCGATTGTTGTGCAGGCTAGTTTGTGGTTCTAAGGGTTATGTTTTCCAGCAATGCTTGGTCCTCATTTTGCTGAAAACAGTGCTTAATAGCAAGCCTCAGGGGTGTCACTGGTGAAAAAAAAAAATGCTGTTGTGATCAACTAAAATGCATGCCTGCAGAAAACAAGACATCTTCACTACAACACAGTAGTGACACGTAAGCAGCGTGTCGCCTGCGCTAGCACGTCATGATGCGATCTTTAGCATATTTTTTATGGTAAAACAAATACTTTAATGATGGCCAGTGTGGAGAAATTCACGATGTGTTTTTGCTGAAAAACATGACCATTGAAGCTTTCGAACTGAGTTTCCAAATTGGGCATTGCGGGTGAGAACAGTGCCAGCAGTGCGAATTGCTGGAGCAACCGACAATCGAGGGTTCGCATATATCGCGAATTATGTCAGAATGTTGTTTATTAATTTTTTGATATTCCCATAGAGAATGGGTAAATCATGGCACGTGGGCGTTGCGAGAAGCGTGTGACATGCTGCCCGCACCTCATGCTGCGTTGCAGTAGACATGTCCTGTTTTCCGCAGGCACACATTTCAGCTAACCACGAAACCCTTTTTATTTATTTGTTTTGCGCTCAGAGTAGCAAGGCTGGTGTGCTTCAGCTGCCACTCATCAGTATCGCTAAATTGCATTGCTTTGTGGCTTTTAAGGGCAATTGTTTTCGGGCATTTGCCACCAAATTAGGATCGGGGATCACCACATGGCACCCAAAGTTTTCAAATTGTCCGGACTGGTGCTGACTGCCGCTTCAAATTATCTGTTCAGACTTACATTGCAAAAAAGGGGCCCACTGAAATATATCGAATGATGTGGGATTTCAAAATAACCAAGTTAAATTATTAGTGAGGATTCACTGTATGTAATGAATGTTGCACGTCAGTTGTGCTGCATGATTCTTCTCTATATTGGTTTTAACACTTAGCCTAAATTAAATACATACCCGAGTATCTTTTTCTTGATATGAAGCTGTGCGCACATACCGTATGTCAATTGCAACATGCCATTATCATTATACATTCACACCCAGAGTCGTCCAGAGAGCCTGGAGAGTTTTTGTATTTGTCGCTGCTGACACATTACCAGTATATATTAATTTCTATTAATACACCAGAGCGAACTCTGATGCTGGCGTATAGGGAAGCTGCAACACATGGCGCTTCAGGCAGTATGGAGACAGCTGGCTGAAGCGCCATGTATGAAGATTCCATGAAGACTAGGCTGGGCATACACATGTTGTCCCTGATCTGTTTTTGCGGTAGATGACCTATTCGATGGTGAGCAGATACCTCAAAGGAGGGAGGCGTGGAAGGTAGAAAAGCTTATCAGTGCTTGTAATATTCGATCTGTATTGCTTAAGGATAACATTAACTGAATAACAGAAACATAGCAAATATACACAAGCAAGAAAAAAAAGGAAGTGATGGATCATAAAAGTAGTTCAGGAATTCCACCACTTATCTCTAGCAAGGAAGCCCAGTACTGCAACTCTTATGCCATACACTCAAATCTCATTGTAACAAGTTTCCAGCATACATGAGAATAACTTTGCTGTATTCGAAAATTAATTATAAAGGTATACTTTATTTACTCACGATGAACGCACTCGCATATAAACGCACCCCCAACTTCAGTCGTCAAAATTTGGATTTTTCTTTCCCCGCGTAATAAACGCACTCCCTACATTCGTCCGCTGTAGTTCCGCTAACCGATACCTAACGCCACCTTGCCTGTTGGATCTCTTCCGTGGTTTTTTTTTTATTATTATTATTAAGCCGACCCCCTTTGCCCGCTGCTGCACGCCATATAGTTTTTTTTTTCTACCTGTGCACGGCAAGTACACAGTCTTTTTTTAATTATCTATGTGCCACAGCAGGATTCACGAACGGTGCGAGTGTAGAGACATCGCAGCTGTCAAACACACAGTGAGCGAAAGTCACGAAACTTTCTGCGCCAACCGACGGTCACTTTCTGCAAATACAAAACTTTAAGGCCAAACCACATGCGTGCAATTTTCGAGGAAAGACGACCGGATTTGATGTAACTATAGCTGTCGCAGAGGGCCATTTGCCGCCATTGCATCACAGGTTTCTGGAAAACCAGAAAAAAATCGCTTGTTGCCCAGAAAAAATCGGGACTATTTCCGCACCATGGTCCCTGATTCCCGCCTCGGTTGCAAGCGAGGCAGCCGCCGTATTTTGTCATTAATTTTGTTATCAACGCTTTGTTTTGATGCTTCAGTGGTAACTTGTTGCAATGTTGGTTGCTCGCTACAATGTCAACGACGGCAGCACGGTCGTCATGTGAGGTTGCCATGAAAATGGCAAAGTGCGTCGTGGCGTCGCAGCGCACGCTTCTGCGTGCCCTTCGAGATGACAGCAGATACCACTGTTGCCGTTAAACGATTACGAGAGAAGATAGCCGCGAAACCCGTTTATGGCGTGCACAGGCGGAACAGGAACAGCTTGCCTAAGATAGCGCCTTCAACCATCGAAGTTGAGTGAAGTGCGACAAAGAAGCTGAGCGACTTAACTTTTTTACTTAGTTTAACCTTGTCATGCGTCACGCGTAACTGAGAGAAGAAGAGACAAGAAAAAAAAGGGGGAGTATCTCCCGAACAGTATAATAGACGGCGCTGTCCCATAGAAGTACATACAAACTGCAGTTGAGTGAGGATATTCTAGATGGTGCTGTACCGCTACTCCCCGATTGGCTGCTGTGCAGCCTGCCTGGGTATGCAGAGAACGAGTGCCTCTCTCAGTCTTTTGGATATTCGCTCTACGTTGGTGGGCCATGGACGAAACAGAGCGGCAAACGCGTTGAAGGCGCTTGCGCTCGGCTTCCTTGGCTTGCGCCTTGTCGGTGTTACCCGCGCGCCGCCTGCATTCTCAAACGCAATTTGAGGCATGGACGCATGTACGAATGGATGGACACGCGGATGGATGGATGCTTCGCCTCACTCATCATCATTCACTCCGTGGATATGCTGTGATTTTTTTTTTGCAATACAGCATTTTTTGCTCATACGGAAAAAGTTTTTATAAAGTTTGCCCCGCATAATAAGAGCACCCCCAACTTGGTCCTGATTTTTTTAGAAAAAAAGTAAGTTAATTACGTGAGTAAATATGGTATATAAATTTTTAACACTACATTTATTGCAAGGCTATTTTTCATTTACTTCGTTATATCGAGGTTTGTGTGTAGATGCACAAAAAGACCAGGTGAACAGAACACTGTTAGAAATTCTTCAAAAGCAAATTAGCACTGGGCATTGCACATTCGTAGTGAGACCACCGTTTTGCCGCAGATGCACAGGCCTCATCTGTTCAATGCTGCATCTGCATCACTCGTTGCTGCAACTTGCATGATTTTATGCTAGTGAGAAGTGTGCCTGGTAAATCATGTGTCGTCGAAAATTCACCATTTTGCTTAGGCACCAGGTTACTTCAGCAGTGGAGAATGTTGCTCTTTTTTTTTTTTTCGTGTGTGTGTTGTTGCGCAGGTATCGCTACTTCCCCGACCGCGTTGGCGGTGTGAGTGGCTTTGGCCAGGCCCCGGCACCAAGGAGAGCAGCAGATGCCGGCAACAACGACCCCAATGCAGGAGGGGGCTGGCACAACTGGGGCAGGGGCCAAGTGCTCGGTAACTAGAGTCCAGCAACAACACTTCGCAGTGGGACTCTGCCACTTTCCCCAAGGAGGAAAGGGCGGGCGAGAACTTTTTGAGTTTGTCACGCAAGCGCGGTGGCATTCACGTGATGCAAAGCCTGGTGCGCACCGTTCCTCCCTCGCTGTCGTGCGACTCCCCTTTTCTTCTCCGACTTGTGGCCCAAGTTCGACTTATGTGGCCCCATTTCCTTTGTTCGTGCTGGGCACGACTAAGTGATAAGTTTAGCTTTAACTATAAAAATGCAAGGGGAAGAGGCGAGATGTAAAGAAAGAAAAACACAGCACAAACGAGGACTCAGACCAGTATTCATCGATGCGTGCTGCACAAGGGATATCCGTAATTCTCACGAGGCCTCTGATATAAATTATTCTTTTTGGTCGTGTACTGGTTGGGTTTTCATGTGGTTGAACTTGGCAACTTGTTTGAAACATTTTTCGACAGTGGCACCGGAAGAACTTTCAAATAATTACATACGCGGGATCAACAGTTCTGATCATGCTGTCAGGCCAGGAGTGGAATGTAAAATTAAGGAATGAATTGTTTTATACACATTGCTTTCTATTTTTTTCTATGGTTCACAGATTTTTAGGCCTTGCAAGTGCCATAAGGTGTGCTTTCGTCTTTGCGGGTGCTCGTCTTAATATCACTTGTAAACCTGCCTAAAAGCTGCACATGTGTTTCTTTGTTGATCATGAACTCGCTCTGACATGCTTGGTTAATGAAATGTGTTCTGGTCATGCTTGCTGTTTTTCCACTTTTTTTTTATTTTCTATTATGACATCCTGCTTGTTTGTTTTGCGAGAGACCTTGTTTGATCTGAGAGTGAAGCAAGTCTTGGTTGGGATTTGGATCGACAATAAAACTTCTTTTATTTCTTGGCAAAGGAGTGTATATGTGTGGTGAACTATGTAATCTTGTACAGTCTGAGTGGATGAAGCTTGAGGCCTTTGCAACTGAAGTGTAATAAAAAATTGGTTAGTATTCGGACAAACAAAGATGAATGTAGAACAAAGTTGGTGGTAAAATGATAGCGGCAGCTTCAAGGTGACCACGCATTTGTAGACTAACAGCACATGAAGGGGAGGGAGTACCCTCAGGAGTGCTAGCATTCGGTCCGGGATGAAGTAGGAATCTGTGAGCAATTAAAATAAGCACAGCATTAGTAGCAGAAAAGAAATTATGGATGAACTGCAATGTTCGGAGATAGAGTTTTAGAGTTTTTAGTGGAGAAAAGAGCAAAGGGCCATAGTGATACATAATTTACACAGCAGTAGGTGTATCAAACATGCGCATGGCTGAATGGGGAAAAAACAGTTTTCGCAAGAAGTCAGCATGATACCTTTGTTAGCAACACTGACACGATATTGTGCAGCTACGTGGTAACTTGTGTAACCATCGCATGTGGCTGCATCATCTTTTCTTATTTGTGCCGACTGACATTATTCTCATCCATGCTGAGCTGCATAACCCCTCTCAAAGCCCATCCCGAGTGTACCCCTTTTGCCTCTATAAAGGGCTACTGAAAAATAATGTTGCCACCAAGATTTTCAGCCACATTGAAAGATCGTGTCGTCATATTGGTAGGCACAACATTCATTCCAGGCAGAAACTACAAGAAAATGATGAATTTAACGGATTTTTCACAAACTGCCACGTCTACCGGCTGCCCAGTGAACTAGAGGAGGCAATGTCACATACGCCCGAAACGGGCAAGCCAACAATGCTAGCTGTCGCCCGCATCTCTCGAAGCACTCGGCTCCCCCATTGGTTCTGGTAGCGAACGATGCTCCCGGCTGGTGTAAAGCGTCAGCGCTTTTGTGGAAGGGGGGAGATGACAGAAGAAGTGGAGAAAAGCGAGAGGAGAACACGTGAATCATGCTTGCGCCTCGGAGTTTGTGACGTCACGACCTGCCATCAGGTGCGGCCGTTGCGTGCTGACAATCAATCAGAAATATGGCCAACTGTTCAAAAAATATGGGAAATGAACTCTGTTTATAACAGTCACATATTTCGAGTAGAATTTCAAGTTTCATCAGTTTTTCCAATTTTTGTTTGTTGTCCCTTTAAATCATTATCTGCCACTCTTAAAACAACTCTTACGAAATAAATGTAGCGGGTGTGTTCCGTCATATAGCGTGTAGTGAAATTTTTGACAACAGGCTTCCACATCAGTGTGGATTCACGTCTCTTTGTCAGCATGCGAGGACAACGTGCTGTTTGACAGAACAGAAAAAAACAAGTTCGTGGAGACCGAATAAGATTTGATTCGGAGACGAATAAGAGCACTCCCTTCCTGCATTTATGCATGGCTACAGTCTGCATCGGAAGAGACTGCAAGCTCTGAGGAAATTTTCAGTTTCCCAGGAATTTGTGATCACATTTGGTATAACTGCACAGCGCATGTTGTTACGCAGTTTAGAACAGGAAGGAAGTAAAAATTCAAAGCTGCCTGTCTAAACCCGTGCATATAAAAAAGCTTTCTTGTGTCATATGGTCCCCAAACTTTCTATGTTGACTCTACAAAGGCTGCCTCCCGTGTGTCTTTTTTCTTTTGGGGGGAGGGGGTTGTCTCGCCTGCTTGCCAGCCCAGAAGGGTAAATAGGGGGGGGGGGGGGGGGGGTATTCGGGAAGCCCATGTTGAAAAAATGGACATATTTCAGTCTGTGCTGTGTTAACTGATTTTTAAATGGCAATACCGATTTGCTTTTTTGTATATGTCTTCTCACAGCTTAAGGAATAACTGTGGCGATGTTTTACAATGCTAGTTGCTGTGCCGAATGCTTCTTAATTTGAAACAGCCGGTAAGGAGGAGGTGTATGTGCTTGCCCTTCATGAGATGCAGGGCAGCAGCCAGATGCACACAATACTTTCCTGGTGTTGCCGGATCGCAGGTACGGCTTGGACATGCAAATATGAACAGAGCCTCCTGTGCTTCTTTTTTTTTTTTTTTTTGCAACAAAGACTTGCCTTTAAGGCATAATATTTTTGTGAGCATGTTTGTTATCTTGTTTCAACGAACAGTTACTGGTTGTCTTGACAAAACTGCAACCACGAGCATGTTTTTCAACACATTAGCTTTAAAAAGCACGTGTTGCAGAAATTCTTGTGTTGGCATCATTCGTTCGGAGTGAAAAATCGTCGTCTTGTTCGTGACCGAAAAATCAATGAAAATGCGAATTCAGAAACTCGACAATTCCTACGTAGCATAGCAACCTATATCATGCAAACCATGCAGAGGGAAGATGGCTGCGGGGTAATTTTTTTATTGAGTAAAACACTGTGAATGAAGCTCTATTGATACTTATTTATCTATTTTGAATACCTCAAAGGCCCCAGCTGGGATATTACATCAGGGATGGGTATTAATTACAGAATAAAAAAAACTGATTCGAGGGCAATCATGAATTGATGCGGGTCGGAGTGGTGCACGGTAGTTGCAGGCAGACGATTCCAGTCCCGTGCAGTTGTCACAAAAAAGGAGCGAAGATGTGCGGTGCTTTGGGCTGGTAGAGGATACACTGCGCTTGAATGGTTTGTGCGGCTTGATGAGCGATGGAGTGGCAGGATGGCTGGAACTTCAATGGGGGCATGATAAAATTTGTGAAAAAGGCATAGTCGAGATATGTGACGTCGTAAATCTACATTAGAAAGGTGAGCACGAGCTTTAAGTTTGGAAACACTGGAATTGTAGGTATATTCAGAGTAGATAAAACGTGCATCACGGTTTTGAATTGATTCGAGAATGTTGGATAAGGGAGATTGGTGGCGATCCCAGACAGAACATGCATACTCTAATTTTGGATGAACAAGTGTGACATACGATATTAGTTTAACTGATGGGGGCGCAAGTCTTAAGTGTCTACGTAGAAAACCCAGAGTGCGATTCGCGGAGTTGGCTATGTTAGTCACGTAGGTGGACCAGGAAATGTTACTTGAATATGTGACACCAAGATATTTGTAAGATTCAGCGGGTGTGACTGCAGAGCCGGAAATGCTGTATTCTACTGACTGGTGATGGGGCCTGCGATGAAAAGATACCAATGAAGTTTTCTTTATGTTTAAAGACATTAACCACTTATCACACCAGGATTGAGGTTGTTTTGAAGTGTAGTAGTGTCTGCGCTGTTTGCTATGGGACGGTATATGACGCAGTCGTCTGCAAAGAGGCGAATGCTTGAAGAGATGCTTGATGGAAGGTCATTGATGTAAATGAGAAAGAGTAATGGTCCGAGCACTGTACCTTGCGGCACACAAGAGATTACAGAGGAACGGCTAGATGAGACGGAGTTAGCATGCAGAAATTGTTGGCGATTCAATTAAATACATTTGTATTATTGTTTAGACAAGAAAGCTTTAGTAGTAGCCGTTGATGCAGGACTTTGTCGAATGCTTTTTCGAAGTCTAAGAAGAGGGCGCCAACACGTATATTTATGTCGAGGGTGGAACTGATATCATGATAAAATAAAGCTAGTTGTGTGTCACATGAAAATCCTGAGCGAAAGCCATGCTGACTGGAATGAAAATAGTTATTACTGACTAAGAACTTGACGATGTTAGAGTGAATCACATGCTCTATTAGTTTGGAGCAAACGCTAGTAAGGGAAATGGGGCGATAACTGCTGCAAAGAGATGAAGGACCTTTTTTTGGGCACTGGAACAATATTGCCCACTCTCCAATCTTCCGGCACCACTCCTGATGATAATGACTGCTGAAAAATATGACAGAGTAGTGTACTAGTGTACTAGCTATTGATTTCGTGTTTTTGAGCATTTCCGCGTTGATACCATCAATGCCGCATGAAGATGCGAGTTTCAGTGAGTCGATTAGTTTTGCGATGCCGTTTGAGCAGAATGTTATGCCCGGCATGTCGCTATAGTTGAGATTAAGAAATGAAGGCAAGTTATCGGCAGGTTCAGCGGTAAACACGGAAGAAAAAAAGCTGTTAAGTTGTTCGGCGGCCTCGTGATCGGGAATTGTATGGTTTTGATCGTTGTGCAGTACTAAAGGTTGGAAGGTACTGGGGTTAATTGTGTGCCAGAATTTTTCAGGGTTGTGGCTTAACATAGCGAGCAATGTTTGTGAAAAAAATAAAAGTTTTTTTTTGTTAGCAAGTTTATCTCGTTCTTTTTCTGCAGCGTAGTACCTGTTCTACGCACATGCGCTATTGGACCGCTTTGCCAATCGAAAGAGTCGTTTCTTTTTGTTGTTTAGGCGTTTTAATGTGATGTTAAACCACTGGGATGACTTTTTCTCGGTTACTGTAATCGTGGTCACATGCTTGGTGAATAGATCTAACATTTTGTTTTTGAACAGCAGCCAATTAGCTTCGACCGAACGCTTTGAAAGGTTGATAAGAAAGAAAGCAGCGAATTGCTCGAGATCCGAGTTTATAGCGGAATAATTGCCTTTATCATGCAGTGTTATTTTGTTGTTTTTGTTGAAGGGTGTAGTTTACAAGAATAGGACGCATGGATTACTAAGTGGTCACTGAGTCCTGGTAGGAACGTCATCCGGGACACTCTTTCAGGCTCAGAAGTGAGAACGAGGTCAAGAATATGAAGGTAGTTTTCACTGTCACGTGTAGGTTCGTTGACTAATTGCGTTAGTCCAAACGTTAGACATGAATTTGCGAAATCGCTCTCTATACTGTTTTTGGAAGCAACACATGCTAGGTTAGTCCAAGGTATTGCTGGGAAATTGAAATCGCTGAAAAGCAGTATTGGAAAATTTCAATAAGATTAAGTTTAGGAGCGAATAGCCCTGTGGAATTCAGATACAAAAAGGGGGTCATTACCAGGGGAACGATAGCAAACACCGATTATTTTGGGGGGGGGGGGGGATAACTAGCATTACAAAGAAAAAACATGATTTCTAAGCACGAT